ATGATAATATAATGTAGTTTCAAGAAATTAAGGTCAAGCGCTCATTAAGTTTCAGAGGTGAATCGCTGATAAGACACCAACTGATGCCGATGACCGTTGCTCTATAAATCGATTGCAGTTCTCGGTTCTCGCGCTCAGTCTGGATTTGACATTTGAAGCGAGAAATGTTTGTGGCAAAGATTTTGTTGGTCTGTGCGGCTGTTGCGCTGGTCAGCGGCAATCCCCAGGGATTTGGTGCACCGCGCGAGCTGACCGGCGACGACCTGGAGCAATCGAGGGCGAATTTGGAGAGCTCGCTCACTAAGCTGGCAGCTGGCAGTGGACCCTACTATCGGTAAGCCTCTATTAACCCAATGTGCTTGAGTTCCCTAAAAAAAACCAAGTTTTGTTTTTCTTTTTACCTATAGTGTTTCAAGGATTCTATCGGCTAGTACCCAGGTCGTCACTGGCACTTTGAACAGATATAAGGTTGAGCTGATCGATACGAATAACGAGACGAAGGTGTGCGATGTGGAGATCTGGAGCAGAACCTGGCTGCCCAATGGCATTGAGGTGACCTTCGACTGTCCCAACGAAGCCAAGGAAGTCAGGAATCATAGCGCCTAAGCGTCAGTTATTATAAATAAAGATTGCAAAACATTGCAAGGCAATCAAATTCAGTTCACAAGGCTTTTAGACTTTGATCAAGTAACACTCTAGGTGGCACTATATTATTAGTTATTATTGAATTATTATTATTATAGATTCTATTATACTGATAGGGCTCTATCGCATCGAATACCTACACGGCACAGATTACTAGCGCATGATACCAAATATCAAATGAAGCACCTGAAATATCAACTGCAGCTATTAGGCAGCTATCTAGGGATGAGAGTCTGAATTTAGAGCATGAGAAACTATTTGCCACTTGCTGACAGCTCAAGTTGCCTTGGGTTGAATGAGACAGCAGCAGCAGGAGCTGACCTTATGGAATGGATTGGCGGAGCAGAAGAAGGTTGAATATAATTGCCTTTACCGGAACTGACATCAAGGAAACACTCATTGATATATGAAACACAGCTGCTGTCTAGACTCGAATGCTTCCGCTACAACGTAAAGCGAGTTGTTCAAGAAAGCATAGAAAAGCGTGTAGAAGGCAAGAGAGAAGCTCGGCAGAAACTAAAGAAAGCCGAGATCTGTGTAAGCTTGGAAAGCATCAGTTGGAGCAGAGCTACCTAGCATTGAGTAAAACTTGGCTAAAACTATATATATATGTATATATTAACAGACTCTCACAGACTAGAATAATAATTGTATAAAATATAGAAATAGGTCTACATGGGCTGCATCTGCATTTGCCATGGGTAATCAAGCGAAAAGACCCAAAATTTTGAATATTTTGGCAAATAATGGGAAATTGTTTTTAGATTTTGTGATCGAGAACAGCATGACAATTGACTAACAACACGCCCATGTTGACACCGTCTCATCATGCTTCGGCTCCGTTGCAGCTGTGCCCAGCCGCAGTCCCTGCCGCAGCCCCACCCCCAGCACTCCGCCCCAAGGCAGATGATGTCTGACGTTCACGTCATCAGGTTGGTCAGGTGGCGGCAGTGTAGACAGCCAATTGGCTGAATGTGTTGCCAATGCGCAAGATTTTCGTTGCCGGCTACTAGTGCCAGCAACAACAATAACAACAACAGCAACAACAACTTTAATTTAATAAAATTGAATTAAATGCCAAGCAAATCAAGCGAACGACTCGCTGCTGCTGCTGCTGCTGCTGCTGCTATTATTAATTGCTAGTCTACGGCCGAAATATGTGTATGCATCATAATAATATTATAATAATATGTAATCAAATTGAAAAACCTGGCAAATGCCTGGCACAGTTTCTGCCTTGCATTGCCTTGCCTTGCCTTGCCATGCTGAAAACAACAACAAGTGCAAATTGTTGGCGCTTTCACGCGTTCCGCGCTACGCGCCGTTGACCATTGAAAATTTGACGCCATCGAGATCGAGATCGAGATTGAGATCAGCATCGGCATCGGCATTGCCATCGCCATGTCAGCGGCCATGTCAAAAATTGTCGCCCTAATAACGGCAACAGCTCCTGGCCAGGCTCCGCTTCCGCTCTCCAGCTCGCCAAGCACTGAGCAGTCCACTCCACTTGCCATCCACTTGCCATCCACTTGGCATCCACTTGCATCCACTTGCAGCCTCTGCTCAGTGTCATGTGCTCAGCGCTGCTTCCGCTGCTGAAATGTAAAAAATAAATATAAATAAATATTTATATACATATACATATAACAAATACAAACATAGTCTCAATGCTCACACACGCACACACACATACACATCTAACCATTCATACGCCGCGTGGGACGACTGCAGCAAATTGCTGTAAATGCCTAGAGCAAAAAGTAGAATCCTTGATTTGCCAGCATTACCCAACTGCCAGATACCCTGTAAGTGCGGTTATATGCCAAACTGATTGACAAAATATAAATTGCAATCAATTTACATATATCTTTAAATAACACTAGCCTAACATTATTGTTTGAGCTCAACTACTAGATACTCTATAAGTGGGATTATATAGAAAATAGTTGGAATAAATATAAAATACATTCAACTTGCATATATAACTCTAAATAAGCATTAGGCACTAGCTGAACTACTTGATACCCTGTAAGAGCGAGCATAGATTATATAGGAAATATATTGATAGAAGATAAACTATAATAAATGTATTTAACTTTGACTATAGTACTAACTATAAGCTGTACTGCCAAAACAGAGAAATTTTTACCAGCTTGGACTTTCATTTCAATTGAAATTTAAAGCCTCTAAATAAATAAAAACCATATATGTATTTAAAATAATATGCAAAATTTGTATACCAGTTTAAGCATATGATTATTTATACACACATACATTTGCTTGTCTTAGCCATATCCCTCGGCCACTGTCACTTAGCTGCCTCATAAATCATCCGTATTTCGACTTTCCTGTAACAGTATTTTGCTTATTTTGAGGCTAGTTCATAAAGCCATTTTAGTGTTTAATTTCCTTGTTTTATTAGGGTATATAAAATCTAAAATAATATTTTGCAATTTATTGCACAAAATATCTATGAAAATTTGCTGAAAAAAGGCGCAAAATTTTGACTGCAGCTCTCGTCGTGTTGCTGTTTTAATTTTCAGACTCAATTAAAAATTGTTAATTTAACTTATAATTTTAAGGTAGGAAAATGCGATGCGGCCAACACGGCGGCCACTCGCAAAAAAAATTGCAATTAAAATATTTGCGCGACTTTGTCACGACGCCGACGGCGACGTCAGTTGATGGCGGCAAATTTGGCGTTGAGTTGACATCCACATATCACAAGCTGCCTCTCCTACTCCCCCCCACACACACCCCACGAAGACACTGCTCACACACAGTCAACCACTGTTTGTATGTGTGTGCGTGTGTGTAAGTACTCATACCTCATGTGAAGTGATAGAAATATTCTTTTCTCTCGTTGCTCCATTACATTTAAATACACTTAGAGCATATGACTTGCAACTAATAAATACCCCCCCAAAGATAAGTCAAGTCGAGTGAAAAGCGCGAATCGGCTATGCGTGACTAGTCCCCCCCGTGCACTCTCAGTCAGGAAGAGCCGTTATTTCACTCGCCGAAAGCTTCTTTCCCCCCCGCGCCCACACGCAGCTTACGCAGCGACTGCGACTGCGACTGCGACTGAGCGCCCCCCCCAGCGCTCAGGCTGCACTGACTCTCGGGCGACTCTCGGTCTCCATTTAGGACCCCCCCTGGCTGTATTTAGGCTGTGCTGAGGTTGCGCTCGGGCTTCGCTTGGACTGCCCCCCCCCTATGCTTGGGCTGCTCTTGGGCTGCTCTTGGGCTGCTCGTGGGGTGCTACCCCCCCCTGCTTGGGCTGCT